GTGGAATGATTGAACGTCAGTTTGGTCCACAACCAACATGTTATATACACTGTGGAATGATTGCACGTCAGCTTGGTCTACAACCAACATGTTATATACACTGTGGAATGATTGCACGTCAGTATGGTCCACAACCAACATGTTATATACACTGTGGAATGATTACACGTCAGTGTGGTCCACAACCAATATGTTATAAACACTGTGGAATGATTCCACGTCAGTGTGGTCCACAACCAACATGTTTTTCCCTGTAGAATGATTGCACGTCAGTGTGGTCCACAACCAACATGTTATATACACTGTGGAATGATTGCACATCAGTGTGGTCAACAACCAACATGTTATATACACTTTGGAATGATTGCACGTCAGTGTGGTCCACAACCAACATGTTATATACACTGTGGAATGATTGCACGTCAGTGTGGTCTACAACCAACATGTTAGATACTCTGTGGAATGATTGCACGTCAGTGTAATCTACAACCAACATGTTAGATACTCTGTGGAATGATTGCACGTCAGTGTGGTCTACAACCAACATGTTAGATACTCTGTGGAATGATTGCACGTCGGCGTGGTCCACAACCAACATGTTATATACACTGTGGAATGATTGCACGTCAGTGTGGTCTACAACCAATATGTTATATACACTGTGGATTGATTGCACGTCAGTGTGGTCTACTACCAACATGTAATATATACTGTGGAATGATTGCAGGTCAGTGTGGTCTACAACCAACATGTTATATACACTGTGGAATAATTGCACGTCAGTATGGTCCACAACCAACATGTTATATACACTGTGGAATGGTTGCACGTCAGTGTAGTGCACAACCAACATGTTATATACACTGAGGAATGATTGCACGTCAGTGTGGTCTACAACCAACATGTTATATACACTATGGAATGATTGCACGTCAGTGTGGTCCACAAAAAACATGTTATATACACTGGAATGATTGCACGTCAGTGTAGTCCACAACCAACATGTTATATACACTGTTGAATGATTGCACGTCAGTGTGGTCCACAACCAACATGTTATATACACTGTGGAATGATTGCACGTCAGTGTGGTCCACAACCAACATGTTATATACACTGTGGAATGATTGCACATCAGTGTGGTCCACAACCAACATGTTATATACACTTTGGAATGATTGCACGTCAGTGTGGACCACAACCAACATGTTATATACTCTGTGGAATGATTGCACGTCAGTGTGGTCTACAACCAACATGTTAGATACTCTGTGGAATGATTGCACGTCAGTGTAATCTACAACCAACATGTAAGATACTCTGTGGAATGATTGCACGTCAGTGTGGTCTACAACCAACATGTTAGATACTCTGTGGAATGATTGCACGTCGGCGTGGTCCACAACCAACATGTTATATACACTGTGGAATGATTGCACGTCAGTGTGGTCTACAACCAATATGTTATATACACTGTGGATTGATTGCACGTCAGTGTGGTCTACAACCAACATGTAATATACACTGTGGAATGATTGCACGTCAGTGTGGTCTACAACCAACATGTTATATACACTGTGGAATAATTGCACGTCAGTATGGTCCACAACCAACATGTTATATACACTGGAATGATTGCACGTCAGTGTGGTCTACAACCAACATGTTATATACACTGTGGAATGGTTGCACGTCAGTGTAGTGCACAACCAAAATGTTATATACACTGAGGAATGATTGCACGTCAGTGTGGTCCACAAAAAGCATGTTATATACACTGGAATGATTGCACGTCAGTGTGGTCCACAACCAACATGTTATATACACTGTGGAATGATTGCACGTCAGTGTGGTCCACAAAAAACATGTTATATACACTGTGGAATGATTGCACGTCAGTATGGTCCACAACCAAAATCTTATACACTGTGGAATGATTGAACGTCAGTTTGGTCCACAACCAACATGTTATGTACACTGTGGAATGATTGCACGTCAGCTTGGTCTACAACCAACATGTTATATACACTGTGGAATGATTGCACGTCAGTATGGTCCACAACCAACATGTTATATACACTGTGGAATGATTGCACGTCAGTGGGGTCCACAACCAACATGTTATATACTCTGTGGAATGATTCCACGTCAGTGTGGTCCACAACCAACATGTTATATACACTGTGGAATGATTGCACGTCAGGTTGGTCCACAACCAATATGTTATGTACACTGTGGAATGATTGCACGTCAGTGTGGTCCACAACCAACATGTTATATACACTGTGGAATGATTGCACGTCAATGGGGTCCACAACCAACATGTTATATACTCTGTGGAATGATTGCACGTCAGTGTGGTCTACAACCAACATGTTATATACTCTGTGGAATGATTGCACGTCAGTGTGGTCCACAACCAACATGTTATATACACTGTGGAATGATTGCACGTCAGTGTGGTCCACAACCAACATGTTATATACACTGGAATGATTGCACGTCAGTGTGGTCCACAACCAACATGTTATATACATTGTGGAATGATTGCACGTCAGTGGGGTCAACAACCAACATGTTATATATACTCTGTGGAATGACTGCACGTCAGTGTTGTCTACAACCAACATGTTATATACACTGTGGAATGATTGCACGTCAGTGTGGTCCACAAACAGCATGTTATATACTCTGTGGAATGATTGCACGTCAGTGTGGTCTACAACCAACATGTTATATACTCTGTGGAATGATTGCACGTCAGTGTGGTCCACAACCAACATGTTAGATACTCTGTGGAATGATTGCACGTCAGTGTGGTCCACAACCAACATGTTATATACACTGTGGAATGATTGCACGTCAGTGTGGTCCACAACCAACATGTTATATACACTGGAATGATTGCACGTCAGTGTGGTCCACAACCAACATGTTATATACATTGTGGAATGATTGCACGTCAGTGGGGTCAACAACCAACATGTTATATATACTCTGTGGAATGACTGCACGTCAGTGTTGTCTACAACCAACATGTTATATACACTGTGGAATGATTGCACGTCAGTGTGGTCCACAAACAGCATGTTATATACACTGTGGAATGATTGCAGGTCAGTGTGGTCCACAACCAACATGTTATATACACTGTGGAATGATTGCACGTCAGGTTGGTCCACAACCAACATGTTATATACACTGTGGAATGATTGCACGTCAGGTTGGTCCACAACCAACATGTTATATACACTGTGGAATGATTGCACGTCAGTGGGGTCCACAACCAACATGTTATATACTCTGTGGAATGATTGCACGTCAGTGTGGTCTCCAACCAACATGTTATATACACTGTGGAATGATTGCACGTCAGTGTTGTCTACAACCAACATGTTATATACACTGGAATGATTGCACGTCAGTGGGGTCCACAACCAACATGTTATATACTCTGTGGAATGATTGCACGTCAGTGTTGTCTACAACCAACATGTTATATACTCTGTGGAATGATTGCACGTCAGTGTGGTCTACAACCAACATGTTATATACTCTGTGGAATGATTGCACGTCAGTGTGGTCCACAACCAACATGTTATATACACTGTGGAATGATTGCACGTCAGTGTGGTCTACAACCAACATGTTATATACACTGTGGAATGATTGCACGTACGCGTGGTGTGAGAACGTACATCTGTTTCCCAGCACTATACTGCCATACGTCATGTGTTATTCATAGAGCCGAGGGCTGTTAAGAGGTTAGCGATCTACATTTAATCTATGCAGACATATCTGCGAGTCTACAAGCCATGACAGCAACCATGGCCCCACCGTCTGGGACTAAGTGCTTATACAAACAAACCTGATCAACAGAATTCACACAGATCGATATGTATGGTGATTCACCAGGCGTGACTCAACATCGCTCGCCTGTACCGTTCTGTCCATAGCTTCATCAGTTTCTCATCAGCACCACGTGGATCATCTAGTCATTTATTGAGTTAAAACTTCAAAAGTTGCCAGCCTCTCAACATCCGAAAAACGACCCATGACAAAAGACTCGCTGTGCAGAGTTGCATCCCTTAGGTGTGCCAGACACCTGTCATAGTGGGTTTCAATGGGTTTCACCAAAGTGGTAGACATCTGAGACCTGCACCACTTCGGACGTTCACCCCACATTAAGCTGACACGCCGTGATATAACTGAAATACTTCTCAAAACGACCTCACTCACCCATCCTCGTCGTCGTTGATATTAGTTGTGTTGTTTATTACTATCCATGTCGGCGTCGTTATCAAATCAAAGAAAGGTCAACTGGATTAGAATTTGTTTGAAGAAGGTGCCCTGTGTCACAGATTTCATATTTACCCAATCAGTGTACAGTAAACTACGTTCATAACGAACTACGGTTATTACGAACTAAAATTAGTGGTCCCTTTGTGTTCGTTATAACCGTAGTTTACTGTGTGTAAATAACAACGATAAACCCTTTCCATAATCATAACATTGTAGTAAGAGCCCATTGCGCGATTCTGATTACATAATAAGCATGTGTTTATGAACCATAGTCTGTCTCACAGTCCCTGAACCATATTACTTTCCCCTCAACCCAGCCCTTTCTGCAAATGTAAAAACGCTAAATGTAGCAAGTCTAGATTTTCCTCAGGTTCTAAATCTCCCATTTCATCTGGCTTCTTAAATGGAGTTATTTCTTCCATCAAAATCATCTATTTTCAGAGACTAAGCGTCAGTTTACATGAATCAGTATGAAATAGTGATGATATCAAGTTTTCGCGAAAGAGGGAGCGTATCCTCCCCCGTCGGTGTCATATCACAACAAGACAGTCAACACGGCAATGGAGTCTGTAAGACTGGTACATACTTCCTAATGATGTATAGTGCGCGATTATGAATCTCCTTTGCTTTTGTTTTAATTGAAACGTGTAGAACGATGGTGGATAGGTTTAGAATGAGTAAAAACTATTTTTGTTAAGCTGACGCTGGGAGGGAGAACGCTGGGGTGGCATCCAAATCCAGCAACACCCGCTCAAGCGACACCCACTCCACCAACACCCGGACCAAAACTAAGGGGAAGCGGAAGAAGATCAGGATGAAAGTCAAGACCCGGAAAGGTTTGTTCGCTCTGTACAGAGAGAATCTCACCCCAGTGTCTTTTAATATCAAATATATCAAAGAGCGTTGATATATTTGATATCAAAAGAAACGAGGGTGAGATTATATTTATCATCCAACATCATTCTTCCAACTTTTTCAGTTTGTAGACAGTAATAAGCAGTGTCATAAGTGTAAAAAGTACTGCTAACAGCTTCAGTAGCAGAGCCATTTGTGATGTCATTTGATTGTGACGTCATGTAACAATGACGTCACAATGGTCCCCAAAGCATTGTGGTGCAATTTCATTGCAGCGATATCTGCAATGGAGATATCGCTTGTTATTACCCACGTGGTGAAGATACAGAGAATCTCGTTGATAAAAGTGGAAAAATTCCGAGGCTTGCCGAGGATTTTTGCCACTTTTATCAACGAGTGTTGATATATTTGATATCAAAAGACACGAGGGTGAGATTGTATTTATCATCCAACATCATTCTTCCAACTTTTTCAATTTGTAGACAATGATAAGCAGTTTCTTCAGTGTAAAAAGTACTGCTAACAGCTTCAGTAGCAGTCATTAGTGATGTCATTTGATTGTGACGTCATGGTAACCAGTGACGTCACAATGGTCTGCAAAGCATTGTGATGTAATTTCATTGCAGCGATATCTACAGTGTAGATATCGCTTGATCTCATCCAAGCCATATCTCCTGTGGGAGCCAGTTTTGGATGATGGTGGTACACAGGTGGTACTAATACTAAATCCGTACGTCACACGTGTGTCGTACAAGGTTGACCTTGTTTTATTCGTTTTCATTGGATAACCGTGACCTGGGTCACACCGGGATTTCTTTTTTCATCCATAAAACATGCGAGACGTCATTCATTTTGCAACTACAAGGCAGAACTGAAGCAATTAAATGAGAGCGAGATATATTTACAAACACTATATTTAATCAAACCAGATAGTCACACTCATCAAATTCAGTTTGCATTCTATATAAGTTATGCATAGAGCTTCTACAGACATTATATAATCGAGCTATATACATTTACAATGTACGACTACCGATCAATAGATCGTGGGTCCCCAATGGGCGTGACACATCCGACCACTTTCGCAACTTTCAATTTGATTTAACGTAAACGGATAAGCGTGGTGAAATTAGGTCAGTTTGAACTGTCTGGACAAATATCTAGACTTACTTGGCATGATCCGGTTGTGCCATCATTGTCCCCCTTGAAGCGTATTTTGTGGCACTGCTTCGGGAGTTGCTTGTTCACGACTGTTCGACCAGATCACTCAAAGTGAACATTTCCGATACAAATCATTCGAAAACTCCGTAGAAGTGTGCCTGACTTCTGATTCAGTGGCCCAAAATATCCCAAATGTGAACAATAACATTCCCTATCTCCAGCGTAAAACGCTGTGAGTCGATCACGATTGTCTTTTCTTATGCCGTGGTGACCTTGCCCTTCGATCGTTCGAAGCTGTCACTGACATGCGAGCAGACCTGCGTTTGTTGATTTTCACGTCTTCAGTATAGGGTGATACAGTTAATATGAATGTCTTTGGTGAACACTCTGATTTCCCTTTTCTAAAATGGTACGGATATGATAATTATAAATTCAGCTGATAGATCAAGGAAACCGAACCATTTTGATTGCACAGACGGGACCCCGGCAGTGCGAGTGACCGACAGTTGGTCCGATATTCAAAGCGCGGCCCTAATGTGACTTTTCAAATCTTCTTAAAGGTGTCGTGCGTACTAACAACATGGCGCTTGAATTACCTTAAGTTGAAGAAATTCTTCCAAAAGAAGAACTGTTTTGTTTGCAAACACATCTGCAGGCGAATGTTGTTAATGTGTATGCATAGAAATGTCAACAATGCCCATATTTGGGCATATATATATCAATATTCATGCACAACCAAATTTTGCAACCGGTTTCAGTTTGGTCTGTTAACGAACGAAAGCATTCGTCACCATTCGCCCCTTTCCGTAACCTGCAAGAAGACTCGTCCCCCTATCGATGAATGTTATGTGCGAAAGTACGACAAACAAATCAGAATGCGCGTATGATTTCAAATTTTTCATCAAAGAATCCCTCAGAAATAATTTTTGATTTTACATATGTCTTGCATCTAAAAATATACCCAAGACACAGTTAAATGTGCTCAATCATACTGTATAATTCGGCATGTCCAGATGTGCTTTAAATTGCATCTGAAATATATATGATATATGGGGAAATATATGTGAACCATTACGCAACGAGTTGACAATTGTTTTAGGTGTGCCCGTTTGCGCTAAGACGGAACCCGGTCGCAAAAATGGCGATGAGAGGGGCACGAGTCGCTGTTCGGCTTGTCCCGGGATAACGCGAGTTGGTCACGAATGGTATTTGGTGTCAGTATTGGTTTGCCGTACATGTCACCGCCGAGTGGCTAGTACACGTATTTAAGATTTGGTTTGCCGTACGTGTCACCGCCGACTGGCTATTACTAGTAGTTAAGTATTGGTTTGCCGTACATGTCACCGCCGAGTGGCTAGTAGACGTAGCTAAGTATTGGTTTGCCGTACATGTCACCGACGACTGGCTAGTACACGTAGTTAAGTATTGGTTTGCCGTACATGTCACCGCCGAGTGGCTAGTACACTTAGTTAAGTATTGGTTTGCCGTACCTGTCACCGCCTAGTGGCTAGTACACGTAGTTAAGTATTGGTTTGCCGTACATGTCACCGCCTAGTGGCTAGTACACGTAGTTAAGTATTGGTTTGCCGTACATGTCACCGCCGAGTGGCTAGTACACTTAGTTAAGTATTGGTTTGCCGTACATGTCACCGCCGACTAGCTAGTACACGTAGTTAAGTATTGGTTTGCCGTACATATCACCGCCGAGTGGCTAGTACACGTAGTTAAGTATTGGTTTGCCGTACATGTCACCGCCTAGTGGCTAGTACACGTAGTTAAGTATTGGTTTGCCGTACATGTCACCGCCGAGTGGCTAGTACACTTAGTTAAGTATTGGTTTGCCGTACATGTCACCGCCGACTAGCTAGTACACGTAGTTAAGTATTGGTATGCCGTACATGTCACCGCCGAGTGGCTAGTACACGTAGTTAAGTATTGGTTTGCCGTACATGTCACCGCCGACTAGCTAGTACACGTAGTTAAGTATTGGTTTGCCGTACATGTCACCGCCGAGTGGCTAGTACACGTAGTTAAGTATTGGTTTGCCGTACATGTCACCGACGACTGGCTAGTACACGTAGTTAAGTATTGGTTTGCCGTACATGTCACCGCCGAGTGGCTAGTAGACGTAGCTAAGTATTGGTTTGCCGTACATGTCACCGACGACTGGCTAGTACACGTAGTTAAGTATTGGTTTGCCGTACATGTCACCGACGACTAGCTAGTACACGTAGTTAAGTATTGGTTTGCCGTACATGTCACCGCCGACTGGCTATTACTAGTAGTTAAGTATTGGTTTGCCGTACGTGTCACCGCCTAGTGGCTAGTACACGTAGTTAAGTATTGGTTTGCCGTACGTGTAACCGCCGAGTGGCTAGTACACGTAGTTAAGTATTGGTTTGCCGTACATGTCACCGCCGAGTGGCTAGTACACGTAGTTAAGTAATGGTTTGCCGTACGTGTCACCGCCGACTGACTGGTACACGTAGTTAGATATTGGTTTGCCGTACATGTCACCGCCGACTGACTGGTACACGTAGTTAGGTATTGGTTTGCTGTACATTCACCGCCGACTGACTAGTACACGTAGTTAAGTATTGGTTTGCCATACATGTCACCGCCGACTAGCTAGTACACGTAGTTAAGTATTGGTTTGCCGTACATGTCACCGCCGACTAGCAAGTACACGTAGTTAAGTATTGATTTGCCATACATGTTAGATGTGACAGCTCTCTGAGTCACATTCAAAGCATCAACAACAAGTACATACCAATACAGATTCAGCCTGCTCTGTAAGACACGTGATGATGTATATTTCCAGAATTTCGAAATGAACACGATCGTGATGAGGATGAGGATGACACTGACGATGAACCCAGACGCTTCAAGGTGAGATCATAGTCACCGATTCAGACTCAATGCATGTTTGTTTGTTTGTTTGTTTGTTGTTTAACGCCGCACTCGGCAATATTCCTGTCTGTGAATAATCGAGTCTGGACCAGACAATCAAGTGATTGGCATCATGGGAATCCATCTGCGCAATAGAGACACGATGACATGCATCAACCGATTCGTAATCGAGTCCGGACCAGACAACCCAGTAAACGCCCTGGGGCTTGTGGTTGGGGGTAGGCGACGGTGGGCGGTTGTTGTAGAGGGGGTGGGCCTGCCGATGGGGTGCCGTCAGCCACAGGGAGACAAGTGTCTGGAAACAGAGTAAACCAGAACCCTGAAACACTGACATCAACTTTATATAACAAATGTAGTTTGGGGGATAACACTTTCTCAGTGGCTTCTCGGGGGCCGGGTGGGTTAGACTTTGTGTGCTGGCGATTAGGTGCCTCACTCTGGCAGTCTGGGTTCGAATTCCGGATGGGACTTAAACCCCAAAAGTACTAGAATCTGTACTTTACTAAGAAAGTGTTATCCCAAATATAACATTTGTTATATTTGACCACTTTCTAAATGGCATTGGGACATCTACCTTGTTTGTTTGTTGTTTAACGCCGCACACAGCAATATTCCAGCTATATGACGGCAATATGACCAGAAAATCCAGTGATTGATATCATGAGCATCGATCTGCGCAATCGGGAAAAGATGACATGCATCATCCAAGTCAGCGAGCCGGACCACCTACTCCCGTTAGTCGCCTCTTACGACAAGCATAATCCCCTTGGGTTGCTTAAGACTTATTCTACTCGTGCATGTCTGTCTAATCCTCTCACTCTCGGGTTAGTCTACACATACACTCCAACCAAGGTCCACGTGAATCTGGCCACGCAGTATAACATTCGTGCAGATGTATGTCTCTCAAATGTGCCAGGATCCGCTAGTTGTACGTTTGAATCACAGATTATGATCCATAATTATGATTCTGTCAGCACTACACCTGTACTCGCTGGTTCATACAACCTTCATCTACGACTTCATCTATGTGGGCTTTCAACCAAATCGCATTAATTCCTTTTAACCCAAGTCACTCACTCACTCAATGCCCCACAGGGAACCTACGGCTTGACCGCGGCTACATGGGAGGCAGCATTCATGCGCGGCGACGTGTACAACGGCGTGGCCTACTTCGACACCATCCGCTACAACAATACCCCAGATTCAAGTAGGTTGTCTGAATTTACTACGAGGGCTGTTAAAATAGTTCTAAGCCATACAAACAAAACCAATAATTGTGAAATTGTTTTTTATTATATTTTTCAACATCATCTACCTGTTTTTCATATCGTATCGATAGTGAAGCTTTTCAATTCCAGTCAGGAAGAAGTTTTCTGAAGCCACCCTGAAAAACCCATTCATGGCAGCTTTGATGTTATCGTTGTCGTCATAGCGCTTTCAACGAAGGTGTTCTTTCAGTTTAAGAACCAAGTGGAAATCACTTGGTGCCTGGTTCGGCGAGTATGGAGAATGAGGAAGCTCTTCGAACCTACATTGTTGCACAGCAGCCTTTGCAAGTAGAGGCGTGTGTGAAGGGGCATTGTCATGAAGTAGTAGAACTCCAGCAGTGCCATTCCATGGATTGACGTTTTGACTGGGGTAGACGCATGTTTCATCACCCGTTGCTATCGCTTTTTGAATTTGACGAAATCCTCCTCAGTTGGCTCTAAATGTTCTCTGGCAATGGCAGTCCTGATGATCAGAATTTAGAATCTTGGCACCAAAGCAGATATCTCGTTCGTCTGTATTGTTCATGAATAATAGTTTCAATAGATCCATGGTTTAAACAAACCTTAACAGTGGAATAGCTGGAGCAGTTATCACCATACACTTGTGACATGTGATCATGAATTTCTTGGGGAGTTCTTTTCTCTAAGGTAAATAATCTGATGACTGCTCGGTACTCGTTCTATTCCATTTATATCTCCATTTGGATCCCTATCACGTTCAACTGGCAATTGCTAATATACCAACGGCCTCAACAGCTCAAATATACTTGCAATGAAAGACTCAAACAATGTACTATATTGACATAGTTGAAAGTCAGGCTTTGAACTTTTTTTACCAACCCTCGTACTCGAACAACAGAAGTAGATTGTAACTGGTCATCGTAGCAATATTCAACACCCTGATATACAACACCCTGACATACAACACCCTGACATTCAACACCCTAATATTCAAGACCCTAATATAGTAAGTGAGTATGGTTTTACGCCGCTTTTAGCAATATACCAGCAATATCACGGCGGGGAACCCCAGAAATGGGCTTCACCCATGTCGGGAATCGAACCCTTGTCTTCGGCGTGACGAGCGAACGCTTTAACCACTAGGCTTCCCGACCGCCCTTCAACACCCTGACATACAACGCCCTCACATTCAACACCCTGACATACAATACCCTGACATTCAACACCCTAATATTCAAGACCCTGACATACAACACCCTGACATTCATCAGCCTGACATTCAACAACCAGACATACAACACCCTGACATTCAACACCCTGACATACAACACCCTGACATTCAACACCCTTACATTCAAAACCCTGACATTCAACACCCTGACATACAACACCCTGACATGCAACACCCTGACATTCAACACCCTGACATGCAACACCCTGACATTCAACACCCCAATGTTCGACACCCTGATATTCAACACCTTGACATTCAACACCTTGACATTCCACACCCTGACATTCAACACCCTGATATTCAACACCCTGACATACAACACCCTGACATTCAACACCCTGACATTCAACACTCTAATATTCAACACCCTGATATTCAACACCCTGACATTCAACACCCTGACATTCAACACTCTAATATTCAACACCCTGATATTCGACCCCTTGACATTCAACACCTTGACATTCAACACCCTGACATTCAACACTCTAATATTCAACACCCTGACATGCAACACCCTGACATTCAACACCCCAATGCTCGACACCCTGATATTCAACACCTTGACATTCAACACCTTGACATTCAACACCCTGACATTCAACACCCTAATATTCAAGACCCTGACATACAGCAGCCTGACATTCATCAGCCTGACATTCAACAACCAGACATACAACACCCTGACATACAACACCCTGACATTCAACACCCTGACATACAACACCCTGACATACAACACCCTGACATTCAACACCCTGACATGCAACACCCTGACATTCAACACCCCAATGTTCGACACCCTGATATTCAACACCTTGACATTCAACACCTTGACATTCAACACCCTGACATTCAACACTCTAATATTCAACACCCTGATAATCAACACCTTGACATTCAACACCCTGACATTCAACATCCTAATATTCAACACCCTGATAATCAACACCTTGACATACAACACCCTGAGTAACAACACCCTGACATGCAACACCCTGACATTCAACACCCTTATATAGTAAGTGAGTATGGTTTTACGCCGCTTTTAGCAATATACCAGCAATATCACGGCGGGGAACCCCAGAAATGGGCTTCACACATTGTACCCATGTCGAGAATCGAACCCTTGTCTTCGGCGTGACGAGCGAACGCTTTAACCACTAGGCTTACCGACCGCCCTTCAACACCCTGACATACAATGCCCTCACATTCAACACCCTGACATACAACACCCTGACATACAACGCCCTCACATTCAAAACCCTGACATACAACACCCTGACATACAACACCCTAATATTCAAGACCCTGACATACAGCAACCTGACATTCATCAGCCTGACATTCAACAACCAGACATACAACACCCTGACATACAACACCCTGACATTCAACACCCTGACAAACAACACCCTGACATACAACACCCTGACATTCAACACCCAGACATTCAACACACTGACATACAACACCCGGACATACAACACCCTGACATACAACACCCTGACATTCAACACCCTGACAAACAACACCCTGACATACAACACCCTGACATTCAACACCCAGACATACAACACCCTGACATACAACACCCTGACATTCAACACCCTGACATTCAAAACCCTGACATGCAACACCCTGACATTCAATACCCTGACATGCAACACCCCGACATTCAACACCCCAATTTTCGACACCCTGATATTCAACATCTTGACATTCAACACCTTGACATTCAACACCCTGACATTCAACACCCTAATATTCAACACCCTGATAATCAACACTTTGACATTCAACGCCCTGAGTAACAACACCTTGACATTCAACACCCTGACATTCAACACCCTAATATTCAACACCCTGACATTCAACGCCCTCATAGCAATGTTTCATTGATGAGTCACTCAGTCATTTCCTCAAAGTGACAAAGACAGATATCAAACTGTTGAACCGCTCCATGTCAATCCACAGTGCCCACCATCTGCCAGAACACCGACCTCTACGACAACTCCAACTCCAACCTGAACGTCAGCACGGAGGAGTCTGACAACACCACGACACAATCAACACCGCCGGGCTTGTTTTACTGTCCTGGGGACGGCGACAATGACGACAAAGATTTCTGCTGTGGTGACGAGAGAACGGAGTACTGCTGTGCCGGGCCTGTGGAGAGGTAAGATAGGAGCACTGTTGCGCTGAGGGGGCACGGGTGGCTCAGTTGTCTAAGGCGCCACAATTCGCTGTGCATAGTTGCGTTCCTCTGGGCACGCCAGAAACCTATGATTGTGGTTTCGAATCCCTGTTATGCTTTCTGTTTTCTCAGCACCATCACAGAAGTGGTAAACGTCTGAGACCTGCACTACTACGGACTTTCCTCCAACATTAAGCTGACACGACTTGATATAACTGGAAACGCGGCGTTAAACCCAACTCACTCACTGACTGTTGTGCTGAGCACCATCTGTCAAAGATTCAAGGATAAGGTTTATACAATCCTTTGCAAGGGTCCTACACAGCATGCACATGGGCATTGTAAAGGCGAGGAGGGAAATGGGTTTTAAAATGATTGCACTTATATAGCGACGTGCATGTACGTGTGTGTGTGTCTGCTTGTACTGGTCCGGACTGATGATAGTACTAGCCCATTGAGATACCATGCCGCAGTTTTAACATGAGTATCCCACTCAGACACAGTAAAGTGGCTTCGAACCTACCAGTCCGTGTTGAAGTCCATTTATGCCGAGCGTCAGGCAAGGTAACAACAAGTACCGCATTTTAACGTCTTTTGGTTTGACGCGTCATGGATCGATCCCCGGACCTTCCGCTTTCCGGGCATCTTCCAAAGACAAGGGAGTTAACTGAAGGGACATTACTCGTAATAGTCAATGGTGGTGCTACGATCGAGCTCAGATATTCCAGCCTAGTTCGGCAAGGGTGGAAACTGTACTTTCATAGACATTTAACTAACTCCCTTGCCTCGTGAAGATGCTCTCCTGGCGGACGCTCTTCCCCGAGGCCAGCATACAGATGGACATTGTAAGGGGTCTAAGTAGCATACAGATTGACATTGTAACGGGTCTACGTAGCATACAGATGGACATTGTAACGGGTCTAAGTAGCATACAGATGGACATTGTAAGGGTCTAAGTAGCATACAGATAGACATTGTAACGGGTCTAAGTAGCATACAGATGGACATTGTAAGGGTCTAAGTAGCATACAGATAGACATTGTAACGGGTCTACGTAGCATACAGATGGACATTGTAACGGGTCTAAGTAGCATACATATGGACATGGTAAGGGTCTAAGTAGCATACAGATAGACATTGTAACGGGTCTAAGTAGCAAACAGATGGACATTGTAAGGGTCTAAGTAGCATACAGATGGACAATGTAACGGGTCTAAGTAGATCAAGATCAAAGATCAAAGATGTTTATTGTATCAAAGGCCATCGGCCCATATACAAGTTCAGATAAATACAGTGGGTGAGAATTTACAGATTGGGAGATACAACAAAAATTATATAAATATAACATTCATTTAACAATCGGTGATAATCATGAGGACTTTCTAGGGTGAGGTAATTAAAATTATGAATTTCCACTCAACATGTTATTTCGTAGTTCCATCCCATGTTTTACAAATAAAGACAGTTTAAACATTACATCGGCATCATTCGATGACAAAATAGAAACAAAAGCTATTCTACTTGTCTTAGATAAGAAACATTCTGGTATATATTTAGTACGTAATTCTGCATAATAAGGACATTCAAAGGTAAAATGTATTTCGTCTTCTATTGCAGAGTTACAGAATGGACAAATTCTTTGTATTCTTTCAAGTGATATATTCCGTCCATAGTTAATCATAAGTTTTGACAAGCCAAGTCTGTATTTAATATATCCATTTCTTAGGTGACTATTTGTTAAAACTGATAGATATTTTTCTGGCTCTAATAGAGTCTTAAATGTTCTGTACAAATCATAACGTGAACTATTTTCCAAGTTGCATTGCCACCCTTGATAGAACATATTTATTGCTATTTTACGAAAATCATTTAGAAATAAATGTTGATCACCAACAGATTGGTTAAGCCATATATACCCATATCCATGTGAGAATAATAGTGTCCTAATATGCGATACCCATGTAACCTTACCGATACTATCTAAATGAAAGAGCATGTTATAAGCTTTTTTCGGAAGCCGATGTTCTGGCATACGGATGATATTAAACCAATATTTTAAACACTTTATTTGTGAATTAATGTAAAGTGGGTATCTTCCACATTCTCCATATATCATATTATTTGGTGTTGCTATTCCAACGCGTAGCATACGCATACATATGAACATTGTAACGGGTCTAAGTAGCATACAGATGGACATTGTAACGGGTCTAAGTAGGATACAGATGAACATTGTAAAGGGTCTAAGTAGCATACAGATAGATATTGTAAAGAGCGTGGCCTACATATGAACATTGTAACGGGTCTAAGTAGCATACATATGAACATTGTAACGGGTCTAAGTAGCATACAGATGGACATTGTAAAGGGCGTGGCATACTGATGGACATTGTAATGGGTCTAAGTAGCATACAGGTGGTTTTTGTAGGGATCTAAGCATACAGGTGGACATTGTGAGGGTCTAAGTAGCATACAGATGGACATTGTAACGGGTCTACGTAGCATACAGATGGACATTGTAAAGGGCGTAGCATACAGATTAACGTTTTCATGTTGCTTTACAAACGATAAACGAGGTTGAAAAACTTCTGTGCAGCATGTGGCGAAGCACAACTTTATACATCCATGTCATTTCACGTGTTCGTGTGTGTTTCCCTGTGAAGCTAGTTTGAGAAATTCTCGCATAGTTGTCGTAAATATCGCATCAATATTGAATCAGCGCGATTAAAATCGCATGGATCTTTCATTACTTTTATCTGCATTAAGACTCTCATTTTCACCTACAAAGATATAAATTGTCGTATTGCTTCAATAAATCTTTCTACGGTACATAAAAATGTCAATAAAATACTTACTCAATCGTCAAAAGTTGTCAATCGAGACAGCGATTTGCATACTCGAAACATTGCATGCTATCTCTTACTGTGCATAACCGATTCCTATATCACTGCATGGAGCTTTGCATCAGCTGACTGATGGAGTGCGCAACATTTTTGTGTACCCGATTGGCAAAACGAGTGTTTGTTTTTACAAACTAAACACTTTGGTAGCGCACGAAAATCTTATTCCGTGATCTACAACTCCAAGTCATTAAACATATTTCTTTAAGGCTTAAATCCTAGCAGAAATCAAAGACGTTGATCTCCATGTATGTGCGTCCATGCAGATATCAAGAGAAAAAAGGCGAAAGACGGGAAAATTTTCGAAACACGAGCAAATTTCGATTTTGGAATGACAGCAAAACAAAAACTAAATGAATATACATACAATTCTTTCTCCATAATAATTTACAAAATTTCAGATCAGAAACGATCGCATTTGTTTTATGAGATTCGTCTAGACGGTGACGGCATCGGTGGAAGAGTTTTCATGAACGTACCCTCGTGCAAGAATGGACACCATGCCTGAATTATAAATTTTGAACTATTTCAAGTGGCCAAACAGCAAGTTGGATTTAGATTTTTTAGAATATGCCACGATATGTTTGCTTCCAAATTTGTCCATAAAAATTGAAAACTGTGACTTAATCATTCAAATATAACTCTTAAACATCTTGAATGTCAACTGTCTTTTCAACTTCCGGTTACTCGTAAACATTTTCTGGCTGCTGCACATGGCAAACACGCTGCCTTCTGTGTGAAATAAATGACTTAATTGTTGCTAATTAAACAAGAGGGTGAGCCTGGGGCAATAGTCATTGTATAATGAACTGTCACTTCTAATTAATTGAAAAGTCCATATTGATTTGATGAGATTTCATTTGATACGGTCAGAGACCCGGCCTCTGATATGGTACACACTTCAGACGGAAATAAGACGGCGAAATTGACGAATGCACTGGTATGTAAATAATATATTTTTGCCAACAAACTGTAATACCATTTACAACAGTCGCTATTTCATGCCATCACTCTAAATATATTGAATTACAGTCTAAACACACATTGTCGAAATTTGACAACTGCAGATTGTTGTCTACTGCATGCCAATGAAATGGACAGCTGATGGTGGTAAACATGCCTCCTAAACGATCTATAATTGTACTCGCGAATAATTCCCCATCAAGTCGACAATGAAGAGAAATATACTGAACCAAATTAAAAACTTCACAATCCTAAAATTTTAACATTTTGATCAGTTATCATTGTGGGCCCTTATTGTGTATTTAAACAGTAATGGCCACGTATTGTCTTCAGATAACACCCGGTTTTGTGCAGGTGAATCGATCAAAATCACGTGCACAGCACTATAGTGGCAAAAGTGTTTTTTCACGTGCAACTGGGCACGTGGCCATAATACCGCACGTGTTTTCTGCCATACTTGTTAGCAGTCATTAACAAAAAAAGAAAAACACAAGAAAACAAAAGTCTTTAGGACCATTTGTCATGCCACGCCTTTCAAATGTGGCAACGTGAACGTGCCATCGGCATGTTGCAGACGGGAACGTCCGTAGCTGAAGTTGCAAGGACGATGGGTTGTAGTCGACGGACTGTTTATGATTTACAGACGCGTCTACAGCTGATCGCCCTCGGCCAGGTCGACCACGTGCAGAGGATCGGCAGATTGTCTTACGTCACCTCCGTAACCGATTTTTGACGGCTACATCAACCAGAAATGAACTGTTTAGGGGTAGACTGAGTGCGCAAACTGTTCGAAACCGTCTGAAATCTGCCCACCTTCAAGCACGACGGCCATTCTGCGGGCCGATTCTGACTCAATTACACAGACGTCAACGTCAATTGTGGGCACAGTGACACTTACGAATGACTCAGAGGAATTGGAATCAAGTCGTCTTCAGTGATAGTTCCCGATTTAATCTTCGATTTGCTGATGGTAGGGCGAGGGTGTGGAGGCGCCGTCATGAACGTTACGCCCAGTGTTGTGTACAGGAAGTTGACAGATTTCGAGGCGGAAGTGTCATGATGTGGGGTGCTCTCTGTGGCAATGCACGTTCCAGGCTTCTTGTCATCCGTGGCAACCTC